CACACACACACACACACACACACACACACACACACACCTTTCATGCTGTGATGTTGTGTAGTCAAGGAGACCCTCACCAGACCTAAACTGACAAGGTTGCCTGACATCAGTCTTTCAATGTGAAAAATGGTAAGGTAAATATATCCGTATTCTTTCTATGATAACTTAGTTACAAGCATTTTGTAATAGCAACAGAAAGCAGATTAACACACCATGTAATCAAACAGAAATATGGTTGCTGCCTTGGAGGTATTATACAGGTATGATCAGTATTTACAATCAATTTTATTTAAAAATTATTCTCTGCAATGTGGATGGGCCTCATCCAAAAGCCTGAAGTGTTCCTATAAAAGAAGGAACACTCTCCAGACTGTAATGTGAATTCCTGCCCAAGAGTCTCCAGACTACTGGCCTACCCTTATGATGCCAGGCTTTCTGTCTTCTATAGCTATATGAGGAAGCTCCTGGAAATAAATCTTCCTGCATCTATGTCTTACTTTGACTCTGAGTCTGGAGGACTCTGATTTGTGCTTCCTTTGGGCATAGGGTGACTCTAGAGGAACAGGGAGAGTGTTTGAGTTAGTTTCAGGGATTCTAGACTCAATTCCCCTAGACTGCTTTTAAAGGGATAAATGAATGACTCTGCTTCAGTGGGAAAGAGAGCACTGACACTCCCAGAGAAAATGTCATGTATTAACCATTTAAATTGTTGTAAGCATATACCACAGACTAAGTGGCTAGTTGTAGGAAACCAAGATGCCAGGCTCTAGGGTGAGATGAGCCTAAAACCTATAGGTCCAGGCTGCATTCTCTACTAATAGGGAGGAGCACTGAAAACAGTGGCTCTGATAATCCCTGTCCTGCAGAGCACTGTTAGGCTGGCAGGAGGTAGCGGCCCGGTCATAAAAGTGCAGGCTCCCTTCTTGGTCAACAACCCTTATCTCCTTGTCCTGAACAAATAACTCAGCTATCTCTGGCTGAGAGATTAGGCCAGGTTAAAGGTTTACTCCTGAGCTAAAAGCTAAAAGTTCACCATGCTTTTAGCTCTAAGAAAGAAAACATTGTGGCCAATAAATTACTGGATGGGCATTGATAGCCTTGAGTAAAAGTTTAAGAATCCTTCTGGTGCCAACTAACAGACTAAATGTCCTGTTTCTTTGTACCCTAAATCTTTCTATGTGACTGCCATATCCCACGTGACTGCTAGTTCCTTGGGATGTATAAAAATCATCTGAATTCTAAAATAAATCATCCTGTTGGGAAGACACAGGTCCCAGAGTTTGACTCTGTCGCCTATCAGACCCTCTGCCCTGAAGCTAGCAGGTCCCCTGCTAAGCAAAGCAAATCTGAGTCCCAACAGCTTGTACAACAGAGATTGTATTTTTCTACCATTCTGGAAGCTAGAATCCAAGGTCAAGGTTCTTACTAATCAAGCTCCTGATGAGGGCATTTCCTTGCATGTAAGTTGCTGTCTTCTCACCACGTCCTCGCAGGGCCTTTCCTTGGTACATATGCAGAGAGAGAGAGAGAGAGAGAGAGAGAGAGAGATCTTGATGTCACTAATCTGTTAAACCAAGGCCCCACCCTTATGAAACTCACTGAAATTTAAACACTCCAAATACAATCACACTAGGAGTTTGAGGTTCAACTGATGGCTAAGGCATGAGGAAAGACAAATTCTCACTCCATAGCGTGTGACACATGAAATGTCACCATGGAATGCCTCCACTAAGTAGTTTTGAAAGTTAAACTTCTCCATAGCCATTTACTTGATTCTTTAGAATATTTTCATCTAAATAGTAATGAATGTGGTTTGTTGTACTTGACCTTGACCGATGTAGAAGAAGTGGGGGAAACAATCAACAGTGCCTCAAATTCCCAGAACCAGGAACTTCTGTTATCTTTCGGGAAAGAAACTCTTATTACCCAGATAAAAAGTAGGGCTGAAATTTCTGAAAATCAAACCAAATGTCTAATTACATCATGAATTGAATTCCTAACCTAACAATATTTCTGGACAACTTATTGGAAAGAATAGGCCTTCAAGTAATGGAACCAACCAACTCTTTCAACAGACCTGGAAATGAGAAAGGTTATCCAGTAAAGATTTCTAGACACATGGATCCCTATGAATTCCATGAGCTACTGGCATGGTATTTGTGGATTTTTAATCCTTAAGAAAATTATAGCATCACTGAAAAGGCCCAACACAGAAATCACAAAATGATGAAGCCCTTAAGTCAAAAGTCAGAGATTGGGAGATGAAGCTACAAGCCAAGGAATAGCCAGAAGTGCTGGGGGTTACTGGTGTGTGGGAGGAGAAAGAGGCATGAGATATTAAAAGTTTGCAGCTTTAATCTTGCCCAGTTTGTGGCAATTTGATTCAGTCACTCACTCAAACCACCCTTTTACCCCTCGTGGAAATATCAAGGCTCATAAAAGTTGTATAACTTTGTGGGGGGGTTTGGAATGTTTGGGTATCCAAAGAAAATAGGAAATTATTTTAGTCAGTTTCAAGCTTTCATATACTTTCAAACACCCATAAGCAACCCAAGTATATCCATAACTATTTGAAGAAACTGGATTCTTCTCTTAACTGAGACAGTATTAATATTGATACTTACTACTGTGGGCATAAACATAGAAAGCAGAGGAAAGGTCCAGGGAGGGTCAAGGGAGAAAGTACTGACATGCTATGGAAGGACCTCAGAATAGTCCCACAGTCCTCCCATGAGCTTCTAGGCTCCAACTTTATAGCATCAACTGCTACTGAAAGACATCTTAAATATGATCATAACTGATAACATAGCATTCATTCTGAGGTACAATATAGAGCTTTTCATTACAGCTAGGATTTGGCATATATATACCAAGACTTCAAGGAAGAAAACCCACAAACAGAGGCACAATAAGAATGTCTATACCTGTCACCTGGGGCCAGCTCAGTAGAATACGTTCCATGGCCCTCAACTAGTGTGTCATTGTCTATTGGTACGTCCCTATTCAAGGCAGTATATGATTATGGGTCATGATTACATTTTTTCAGGGATGTCTTTTGAATTAGAGGCTGAGCCACTTGGGTTCTTCCAGGTGAATAAGGGCTGTATAAAACCAGACATTTCCAAGAAAGTTTTCAAGTCACCAAAATATGAAAATACTCTAGAGATTTCAGTGATGGCAATGCATGTATCTAAGCAATGCAACTCAGTAGTGATGGGTTTAAAGGCTCCCAAGATAAGAAAAAGATAGTTGTCGGTGGCCTAAGCTTTGCCACTGAAGTATTTTTTGTGTCATGGCTAAACTTAAGTTTTAAAAATAAAGTTTTGCAAAACAGTTTTAATGTTTTTTTTTATAATTTTTCTTTATTCCCTTTTTAAAATATTTTATTTATTACTTTTATTTTTCAATGTGTATGAGTATATTGCCTGTGTGTAGTAAGTTCACCTGTGTCATGCAATGCCCTCGGTGTTAGACCCCTGGAACTGGAGTTAAGGATGATTATTAACTGCCGTGTGGGTGTTGGGAACAGAACCCAGGTTCTCTGCAACAGCAGCCAGTTCTCTGAACTGCTGAGCCATGTCTCCAGCCCCAATAAAAAATACTTTTTAAAGAGAATAAAAATACTTTTGAAAACACAGATTAAACTCAATAGGCACTTAAATAATCATAGAGGACCTGAAGTCAGGGGTAGTAGGTCAGAGTGGGGTGTGTCTGTCAAAATGTACTGTATGACATTCTCAAATTAATAAAAATATTTTTAAAAGAGAATAAAGGGACTGGAGAGCTGGCTGATTGGTTAAGTGCACTGGCTGTTCTTGCAGAGAACCCAGGTTTGGTTCCCAACACCCATATGGTGGCTAACAACCATCCATAACTCCAGTTCCAGGGAATCCAGTGTCCTTTTCTGGTCTCTGCAGGAAATGCACTTACATACACGCAGTCAAAACATTCATACACATAAAATAAAAAATAAATATTTAAAATATATTTTATTAATTATTTGAAAATTTCATACAAAGCATTTTTAATCATAGCCATTCCCAAGTCCTCCAAGACCCACCACCATTCTCCTACCAACAGTTTTCTTTCCTCTGTGTTTGTTTGTAGTTTTGTAAAACCCATCGATTCCCACTTGGGTAGCCCATATGTGCTTGAGTGTGGGACCAACCACTGGAGTGTGGTCAACCCACAAGAAGCCACACCTTTAAAGAAAATGGATTCTCCCTCTCCCAGAAGCTATCAGTTGTCAACAGCACTTCAGCTGGATGCAGAACTTTGTGCCAACCTCCTCCCTCCATGTTGGGATTTTGTCTTCATGAACTTTGTGAATGTTTATGGCTCATATCCAGGCTGTGACAACCTCTTGAGCTCATGAGTGCAGCTGCTCTGTTGTGTTCAGAAAACACAGCTTCACTGCAGTCCTTGGCCTCTGGCTCTTACAACCCTTCTGCCCCATTCCATGATGATGCATAAGCCTGGGAGGAGAAGGCTGATTACTCCACAGTCTCTCATTCTCTGCTCCATGACCAGGTGTGAATCTCTGTGTTAATTGACATCTACTGACAATGGAAGCTTCTCTGATGAGGAATGGAGGTACACTAATCAACTAATATAAAGATAACTCATTAGGTGTTAACTAATTAACACTGTCACCTTAGCATAATTATAGAAGTAGGATCTCCCCCTAGGGCCTGTGATCTGTCTAGCCACAGATTCTTTGACCTGATAATGGTGCCAGGTATGGGTTCCATCTTGTGGAATTGGCCTTAAGTCCAATCAGAAAGTGGTTGGTTACCCTCATGACATTCATGTCACTATTACAGCAGTGGGCATATCTCACCAAGCTGGTCATTTCTGTAGCTCACAGGATTCACAGCTGTGTAAGACTGATGATTGCTTTTCTTTTCCAACAGTGTACATAGCACTTTCCAGTACTATGAAAGCTAGCTAGTAGGGATGAAGTTTCTAGGTCAGTACCAGCGCGATTTCTCCATGTTCTATGAATGACACTTGTGGTGTCTTCAGCAATAGGGCCATACTGTCGAATTCTGGAGCATAATCCAAAAGCTATGACAAATTGCTTGTAATATTTGGGTGTCTATTGATCCTCACTGGCCAATAACTCCAAAAGTGATAACCCATTCCTGGTACTTGGCTTTTTATTTTTTTGCCTGTAGTGTTAATAGGGGCATTGTCACCCCATTATATGATAATTTCATTTAAACTCTTTATATATATGCATGTCTATATATCTTAGGAAGCTTCTACAGTAGAGGTTTCCAGTACACTTGTTCAAAAGGCCTTTTCTGTCAGTTATCTGCCCTCATATTCCCATCTCCACCCTGCCTTCCCACCCCCGCCCCATTTAACCCTTCCTGTTAAATTATTCTGCCCCTTCCCCTTTATATCAATGTGTTCTATCTGCCTTCCCTTGAAAACCACCCCGATGGCCCCTTACTAGTTTCCTGCCTTTTATGGGTAGTCCAAATAAACCTAAAGATTCAAACCTAACTCCACATATGAAAGAGAACATGTGTCATTTGTCTTTTTTAATCTGGGTTACTTCATTCAGAATGATTACTTACAACTCCATCCATTTGACCTGTGAACGTCATAACTTCATTTTTCTTAACAGTCATGTAATATTCCATTGTGTAAATGCACCACATTCTCATTATCCATTCATTAGCTGATGAATATCTAGCCTCTTTCTATTTTCTGGCTACAGAGAATTTCATATATGTATACAATGAGACATGATCATAGCCACCCCCTTTCCCTCCCTCCTACTTTCCTCAAATATTCCAGAACATCTCCCCACACACACACTTTCATGTCCTCTTTTCTAATACAACCTACTAACTCCAGTTAGTGCTGCCCATATATGTATGGGTGTGGGGCCATCATTGGAACATGGGAAATAAACCAGTGGCCATACATCCAGAAAAGAATATACCTCCTCAGTAAGAGGTGGGGCCTGGAAAGAACCTCCCAATCTATGCCAGAATTGGGGCTGGCTTGACCTTATATGGGGCTTATGCAGGTAACTACAGCTCCTGTGAGTTCATAACTGCAATATCCACGATGTGTCCAGAAGGCAGGATTTCATAGCACCATTCTGCATCATCTGATCACTTCCTTGATGCTGCTAAAATTTTTATGATTTCAAATTTGTTGAAAACCACCACAGAAAGTCCTTCCATCTAACTTCATGACTCATATTTTATAGAAAGTACCAGAAACATTGGTTAGTAGTGTTGTCAATTCATGATAAACTGAAAACCACCAACTGGATGTGAGAGTTCTAACATGAGTAGTCACACTTACTAGTAATAAGGAACTGAGCATCTAACCACTGTGCGGAGACGCAGTGAAAAGTTCATTTGTCATAGTAATGATAACCCTTCAGTATTTCTGTAGTATCTTGGACTTAAGTTGTGTACTCACTGACACTCAGCCATGGCTGCCCAGCTCAAGAAAGCTGATGAGCTATACACAGAT